CCATTGCATTTCCGCTTTTTCCGGTTTTACCACTCATTTCCGCTAACTCTTTCTCCTATCTCATTTTCTATATAAAGTAGTGTTCCGTTCGATAGTATGATTCGTTTTGAGCCCCGACTTTCGGAGTCCATCGTGGTTAGAGTGTTTGCTAGCGTCATCGAACTTGAAATAGAGTTTAGTCCCGTTTAGAGATTAGTTCGAGAATCGCGCTTCGAGAAGGGAAATCGAAAGAGAAACTCGAAATCTATTACCTTCATATGCGAATCCGTTAGCTGGTGCGCGTACAAAACCCGTCCTTGGGCATTCGGAGCGAGATCTTCTATAGTTCTTAATCCATTGGCTTTCTATTTCAAACGGGGTATCGAAACACATTTGATTAGCTGTACTTAGGTGTAAGAAGAGTCGTCCTGCAACTTGGAGCACTTTCTAGCGCTTCCCCTTGCAAATTCTGCCCCACTGAGTGCCTAACTCGCACCCAGACGCGACACCAACCATCCAGGACCCATAGGAAAAGAATTCTATAATAGCGAGTAAAGGGTCTCGATGAGAGAGAGCGCGAGGAGTGGCCTTTTGAGGAAGAAGCCACAAATGTAAGAGACCATCAATGGGCACGGCTACGAATGTACCATGACTGACGCGCAAGGGTCGTGGTGGTGAGAGAAAGTGTGGTCGGGTAAAGAAAATATGGGGTAGCGTTGGCATTAACCAAGTCCATGGACGAGCAACAGTTGGTCCCTCTCAATTCACTGGCTCGCTTCATTCAATTCCACGGTCTCTCTACGGACCCAAAATTCCAGCTCCGACATTTTACCCCAAAGTGAGATTCATCAAGAAGCGGAGGCAGCGCTTTCAAACCACGGTGCCCTCGTCACTGCGGTTACGTGCCGTAAATTCACTACACCCCCAATAAATTTGAAAATAGGAAATGATTACCTATGCGCTGAGTTATACCATGTTAAAGTTTCGACAAGATTTGATAATATCACTGCAGGACAATTGAAACAGGAGCGTGGACATGGAAAGTCAGACGAAGAGAGGTGAATAAAACATTCCAGCCCGAAGTTCAACAAGACAACTAAGTTGGTGACTGTGGTGGTAGTGGTGGTCGATGTTCTGCAAAATGAGCTTCACGGTCGTGAGAAGCGCTGGGGTTCTTTGACCTAAATCACATTCATCACGCTGGTCGAAACTAGCTTCTTCCTGCTCAACATGGCATCTTTTCGGTTTCACTGGCACAGAATCGATGGTCCATTTGGACTTTCGTCGAACAGACCCAATTTTTCGCCAGACGAGCTGGCTGCAATCAAGTTTGCCTTTACTAATGGTTCTATCATTTCCGATAGCGCATTCAAGGACCTTGAATGCGCAGCGAACGAGTTTCAAAATCATTTCCACGAGCTTCGAAATATTATAGGGGATTTGGAATTGTATGTGCGTGCTCTAAAAGTCCAAGCAGAGAGGATTTCGGTCCACGAAAAACTCGTGAGGATGGCATGTTCTCGGGTAATGCGACCGTTTCCGCCTTTGCCTCTTGATATAGCACATGCAGTTGTCACATTTGCTGCAGAAGAGGATGAAATAACGGCTAAAAATCTGACCTTAGTCTCCCGTCAAGTTCGTCAATGGTCTGCCATTCTTTTGAGTCCCTCTCAGTCTCCATCGCTGATATTTTAATGTAAAGGGCTGATAAAGAACTTTGGAAATCGGTGTATATTAATCGAGAGGACCAATTTACTCGATTTACTCTTCTGCTGCAAGATCCTATATTTGCATTGACCCGCGCGCATTGCATACATCGGCTCCAGGTCGAGAGAAGTGTTCCGTCGAGTAATGGCTTGTTCATGGTTCTGTCATCCCTTCCAAATCTACAACGATTCACTCATTGGGATACTGATATGACATCGGTCCGGGATAGCGCCATTGGTATTCTTCATTGCTCTTCGCTACGGCACATCTCATGCGACCCTCGCCTGTTTTCCGTTGACTTCAATCGAATAGATCTCGATTCTGCATTTTTCCAATATGTGACCCACCTTGATGTGGCAGTGGGAGATGATATTGAATACCATATGTGGAGCTCTTGGAATTGGTCCACTCTGAAATCACTTGCCCACTTAACCCACCTTCTAGTGGAGATGATGTTTATTGGAGATAACTCTCAGCATTTACCTTGTATTCAAACGGATCTCATCCCCGTTCTTCCTCCTTCTATCCAGCTTGTGCTGTTGGATATTGATTCTGACGCAGAGCTTTTGGAGGACGATCTCTACAACGAAATACGGAGAGGCGAGTTAGATCGCCGAATCTTACTCTGTGTATATGAGAATAAGCCGCTGGGAGAATGGGTGTTAGAGGTGGGGAACATGAATGATGGAAGGTCGTTTGGCAGTGGTCCCATATGGGTGAATGGACACTATAGGCTGATGGTTTTTTAGACTTGAAGAGTACCTTATGGGAGGCACTTTGCTATGGTCTCAAGAGTACTGGTCCATGTTTTTAAGGGGGTGGTCCAAGTATTTGGTCCAAGTTTCTAGATTGTGTGTGACACTGGCTGTTAAGAAGGAGGCTTTTGGACCAGGGGTCCTAAGAACATGGACCAGAGAACATGGACCAGCAAACATGGACCAGCTTAAAAAGTAGACAATAAAACAATTACAAAAGCAGAATGCTATGGCAAATGAGTACATAGAATGGACTAGATTGTGATAATATTTCTAATAATTGATAAATATAATTGTACTGTTATATGGCTGCACCTAGGCAGCCATTGCGGTGCTATGCGGCTGCATCTAGGCAGCCATTGCGGTGCTATGCGGCTGCATCTAGGCAGCCATTACGGTGCTATGCGGCTGCATCTAGGCAGCCATTGCGGTGCTATGCGGCTGCATCTAGGCAGCCATTGCGGTGCTATGCGGCTGCATCTAGGCAGCCATTGCGGTGCTATGCAGCTGCATCTAGGCAGCCATTGCAGTGCTATGCAGCTGCACCTAGGTAGGCTGTTGAACCACTCTGTTATGTGCATGCATAACAAACTATCTGCAGACTTGTATTATATCTGTTCTGTACCCAGTTTTATGTATTTTGTGTGTTTTGTACATCTCATACCTCATATCCAGCTATACAGCTGTTGTATGTCTCCTGTATTGGTTTACTTACTTACCCCTTACTTATACCTATATATACAAATGCCTACAATGTCTGTACAACATCTAGATGTTCTATGCTGTCATTATGACTGCTCCTTACTGTTTTGGGTTGTTTGCTTCTTGTTAGGACCGTGCCTCTATGTAGCCCTACAGCGAAGGAGGAGTGGAGAATGAGGGGTACAAGAGGTACGCAAAGGTATGAGAATGTTCAGCGAAGGAGAACAACAGTACAGGAGTGTCTCAAAGCGTGAGACCAGCCTTTTTGTCTATGATGCCTGGCTGAGCAGAGGCTGACAAGAACAAAGGGGAATCCAAGTTGATGTTAGGATAGAGAATACAAATGAAGGTAAGAGCAATATATAGGTAAAGGAAATGGATTGACAGCCATAGTATAAGTACTAATAGGTAGTACAAAGTGGAGAGAAGTGGTATGAAGCAGAAAGGAGCGTGTGAAGCTGCAAACGACCTGAAACGGTAAGGAGCAGTTGTAATGACAGAACGGGGCATCTAGATGTCATACAGACGTTGTAGGCATACAAGTACATAGCTATAAGTAAGGGGTAAGTAAGCAAACTGATACGGAAGGCATATGATGGCTGTATGGCCGGGTACGAAGTACGAGACATACAAAACGCACAAAATACACAAAATAGGGTACAGAACAGATACAATACAAGTTTGTGGTTAGTTCTTTGTGCATGCATATAACACATTTCCAACATTGACCTTGAGATGCTTGCACCACAATGACTTGATGACAGCACATCTTCCTAACACGCCGTTTTCCCTACTGACTCTGTATATACCTTATGCACATCTGCTTTTCTTATGGCTCTCATTTCTTTACCTCCTATATATTCTCTTACTTAGTTTATACAGTGTTACAAATTCAGTTTTAACCACTTTATCATTCCACTGATTTCTTAGCCCTTGTATATATGAGTTCCTTGATGTGTTCTCCTCATCAGAAAATGTCAAGCAATATCATATGATATTGCATCACTTTTCTTGTGCCTCTCCACTTTCTTCCTATGCTAACCACACACTCTTTTAGTTCTTAACTCAAGCCTATGATGTTGAGCCTATGCCAATGTATCTGATGCTCCTCATCAAAGTGGCTGTGTTCCGAAACCTTGGTATGCCTTACGCAATACCACTCCTATGCCTCTTGCTCCTAATTCCACTTGCATCACTTTTGCTCTGTCAACCACTCTTGTTCCCCTGCTCTTTGAGCATCTTTCTATGCACCTATGCAATCATTAGGTAGTCAGAAGTGTCAGACATAGTCAGAACCATATAGAAGGGTTTGGGGATCATTCTATTTATACCGAAACCACTATTTAATCATTGTATAACCTACACATGTATTTTCCTTAGTTTGGTTCTTGTCTATCATAACAGTTTCCCTTGCTCTCTTTTCCTTTTCTCTTTTGGTGTTCTTTCTGGTCTTGTGAGAGGTTGGGCAACTGCCCTTCTGACAGTGGCATTGCATAAGATATGCCAAGGTTTCGGAACACAGCCACTTTGATGAAGAGCATCAGATATGTTGGCAAGGGATCGCTTGAGACCTCCAACAGCACAGTTCTAACACTAGTTCATGTTACACAAACATGGACCAAGCTACCAGCCTTGGTCCAAGTTGCGCAAACATGGACCTAGCTATCATGTCTGGTCCATGTTATGCAGACATGGGCCAAGCTTCCAGCCCTGGTCTATGTTATGCAGACATGGACCAGGCTACTAGCCTTGGTCCAAGTTATGCAGACATGGACCTGGCTATCATGTCTGGTCCATGTTATGCAAGGATGTTAGAGTCTCAGTGACGTACTGATGTGTAGAAAGCACTCAAAAGAGTGACGAGAGCTGGACTCGAACCAGCATCTCCCGAATTGCGCTTGGTTGCTCTAACCATTGAGCTACCTTGCCGTTGACGAAACTCCCGGCACTTGGTGCTGAAGCCTCTTTGCCCCCACCGCTTATCGCTGAAGCTGATTGCTCCCGGCGCTTGGTGCTGAAGCGTTGCCCCCACTGCTTACCGCTGAAGTTGCCAACCCATCATCTCCCTGTGGCAGAGAAATGATGGCCTCCCGGCCATCTCCACGGTGCATCGGCTGCACAGCTCGCTCAGTCATTAGAAGACCGAGTCTGCGGTGATCACCAGATGACGCACTGATGTGTAGAAAGCACTCAAAAGAGTGATGAGAGCTGGACTCGAACCAGCATCTCCTGAATTGCACTTGGTTGCTCTAACCATTGAGCTACCTTGCCGTTGACGAAACCCCCAGTGCTTGGTGCTGAAGCCTCTTTGCCCCCACCGCTTACCACTGAAGCCGATTGCTCCTGGCGCTTGGTGCTGAAGCGTTGCCCCCACCGCTTACTGCTGAAGTTGCCAACCCATCATCAGTGGCTAAATTTATAAAGGACATGGGTAGTGTAGCAATGACAGGCAGCAATGACAATAGATGTTGATGAGAATGAGGCTAAGTGCAACAAGAGAAGCAACCCACATCATTCTGTGAGCACTTGAAGAGTTGCACCAAGAATTGTTCCTTCACTTCTTCACCCCAATCCAGTTTGCCAAGTGTTGTTGCATATATTAAGTAGACAACTTGTATGTATCCAAAAAATCAAGAGCTTGGACCCTCTTCCCAATGACGAGTAACAGGCAAATGTTCTGCTTCTAGGTCTGTTCCAGTTCCCATTTAGCAACATGTTGGATTTGCAGGGGGGAACTCGATCAGCAGAGTAAAAGACACCTAAGCAAATGCAATGGGAAGCATCACTGCGTATGTACGATTTATATACTAATGTAAACTACATAATGGAACCTCGAAAACTATTGTAACTACGATAATCAGTGTTTTGAACGCATTGTAAGTAAGCTCTGCATTGTCTGTAATATTACCAAATTGAGACGCCTGCATCTCAATGTCCATGTTGAGTTCGCTCACTCAAGACAACAGTATGCTAAATTGTTGGAATAGCGAGTGAAACAAGCTCACAAGCGGAATTTCGGGAGCTATTGCTCAATAGCTTATTGTTGCACGTTCTGCACATTGTATTGAATTTTAGTATAAATATCGTGGTATACATAGATTATTCTCTATTTGATTGACTTGGTTCCCTTGCGATAAGCCCAAGACAAGCAATTTCATAAGCACATGAGCAGCTATTTCAACATAAATGTGACCACTACCAACTTTTCAATGTCTGACAATTTCTACATAAGTGTAGCTATGGCTTATTTATTCCTGTTTGCAAAATTGTTGGTCAGCAGTCACCTCAAAACTTTTGAGTATTTTCCAATGTTTTATCAGAGAAAATTATCATGATTCCCTTGCTGAAAATTGAACACACCCAAATCAGATTCAACAGGTTCAAAGCCCATCATATTTCAAGTATTACAATATAAGTGCATAGTCCATGGAGTATGGTTACGTAGCCAAAGAAAAGACAAACTGAATCAATCATCAAGTAGCAGCAGGAAAGGTAGGGACTTCACGAATGATAGGTGGGGGTGCATTGAAAACAGACCAAAAGACTCGCACATAGCTGTGAATGATAATTTTTTCGAAGCTTAAAAAACTCTGCTCATTGCCATACACGAACGAAGCAGCCCTCAAGGCTTGAAGAATGCTCGGGTTTGAGCATTGCCATTCCTTCATTAAGCCATGAAACTTCACGACGAATAACCGCCTCGTCTCCCAATCGAGCGCAGACAGCCCCTGCCGACTAGCAAACGGATCGACGAACAAAAAATCATCACCACCCCAGAGTGAGCGGATCTCTTGCACTCGGTGTTCATAGGCTTCCTCCGCGGTGAGTATGGCTATCTGTCCGTCTGGTAAAGTCACTTGCGTTGCACTCGAGGACTCCCAGAAACTCTTCGCAAGCGTTTGGTCTAACTGAAGCACAGATCGCCGAAAATTCACCTCTTCCATCTCGAAGAGAAGATAACGATAGATGAAGTCGGGAATTTTTTCCCGAAGCCCGACAGTCTGTCCGTGGATGGTGAATTGAAGCTCTTGCGTCGACCCTTGCTCAATATCCAAATCCAGAGTTTCTAAAACCTTGCCTACGTTCTCTTTTTTGCGACGATTTCGTGGTGGTGCGTGGTGTGGCGTCCTATCAGCATCTGGGATCGAGGTATGAGCCTTCCGCCGTTTACTGGTCGAAGGTTGGTCGTCATCTTTAAGTTGGAGAGCGGTCAGGATGGCGAAGAGCATGCCCTTCCATTCCGCTTTTTTGGGGCGAATTGGAGCTCCAGACATACCCAATGTCATCCAGGTTTTACGTAGGTATATCCATGCCTTCAAGTTCGCCAAGAAAGTGTTGCGTTGCTTAATACGAGAAAAAAGGCCAATTGGTGGGAAGAGGGATCCATCGTTCACCAACCATGATTCGGCGGCGGTGACTTGGAAGTGAGAATCGTGACGTGTGGGCGTATACGATGCCCTCATGGACTGCCAGACCGCGACAGCAGAGGGTATAAAGCCAAAGTCATCGCGGTCGTCCTTGAATAGGCTGATGATTTCCGGAGCTACTGGCATGGCAAGAGTCGAACGGAAAGAAAAGGGATTGGTCTCTAAGTTGGTTGGGGCTGTCGTCAGCGCGCTCGTCTGGGAGTCCGGAGTTGTTTGATGTAAATGCTTGAAACCTAACAGAAGCTAAACAGTCGACACGAGTAAGAGTATCAAAGAAGGCGTACTAGTTCCATAAGCAAGAAAACGAGCTGCTGCAAACGAGGACGTATGACTTCGAAACCTGATAGAATGAGTGGGACCGGTGAAGCGAGGTTGAAACCAAGATGGTTCTGTCCTAAGCGAGGGAGGAAGAGATTCAATCTTCGTGAATTCAACAATTCGGTGGGAACTTTGGAGAGCGAATGTGGGGCGTATGAGCCAGACAGGGATGCCGGCAAAGAGTGCATACTTGGCAGAGGCGTCAGTCAACGCAAACATGCCAAGATAGTCGTCGTTGACAGGGAGAGGGGTGGACAACCCTCTGGTCTCGTAGAAAAGACACCAATACTCAAAGAACGCCCGTGCTTCCAGTGCGGCCCTCTGAAACACGGATACCTGGTGCTGTGAATCTTCTCGGACAAGCTCGAGAGTCCGCATACGATCAACTTGGGTACGTGTAAGTGACACAAGGGCTTTGCCAGTCTTGTAAACGGTGTCAATCTCTAGATGACCATACGTGGTGTTGAATCGGTTAGCTAAGGACTGGAGGGAATCGACAACTATTTGCGCTTTGGCAATAATATCGTGTGCGAATGAGAAAACGGGACTTGTGGTAGGAGTAGCCAGAACCTGGCGCAAGGCGATGGTTTGAGGATCCTGGTATAGAAATTCCTCCACGGTGTCACTCCAAAATGGGATATGAGAATATTTTCCAGAACGGTCCGATGGAGGGCGAGGGATAACTGACGTATATGCGGTAGAGGAGTAGCCAACTTGGGGGTGCTTTGTTGGGTCGACAGGACCAAACTTGGAATCGGCATGCATGCACAAGGGGTAATCAGGGAGGAGAATGGGAAACGGCATTCTTGAGCTGTTGGGTGTAGACATAACCCAACCATACGCGTTGTTTCCCTGACGTTCGGTATCGATTCCAGGAATATGACCAGTCCTTAAATCTCCGAGAAATGCAATTTTGAGACAATCAAAGAATTCAGGCGCTGCCAAGCTGGTTAGTATCTGAAGCTCGTTTGCTTTTGGTGTACTGATTTTGGGTAGCCCATTTTTCTGGCGAACAATTCGACGTGTAAGTCCATCGTTCATCAAACCCCATAAGCTTCGGACCGCTTGACCTGCTGAGCTGAAGATCGGTAAAATCCCATGTTTGGGGGTCGGTTTGGTGGGAGACCGATCTAGCGAAAAGAAAATGAGTAAGAGAAAGTATCAGTATAGACTAGGACGTGCCGTAAACCAACGGGCATTGGACCCACATCTCCAAAAAACACCAAAACACTACCAGGCGGGTCCATTAAAGACGGCAATGCGCCAAACGGAGATTTGACAGTGTCAGGGACAGGCAAGGCGTAAACTGAGGCTCGACGTTCGAGAAGATTTGAGCGGTGGACGGTATCAAAATGAAGCTCAAGATACCGAAAAGAGGATACACCGATGAAGGGATTGTAGTGGGCACCGCCGAAAGGAAGAAAGTCTAGGATTCGCTGGTGGCACCGGATGATATCGAACAAACGTTCAAAATATCGCGAAAGGTTCGAAAAAAAGCGACACTGAACAAAAGTTCAAAGTATCGAGTTCGAGTGTAGTGGTGGTGGTGGTAGTTGCAGCGAGACAGGCCGCTGACAAGCACCGCCACTCACAAATTCGTGACCTTCTGTGACCATTACTTCAAAAATATCACATTGGGCGGCGCAGCTCCGCGTAATTCTATATACATTGCAACGAAACCCACCCCCCCAATATAAATAAATAAATAATAATGATGCTTTACATATCCTATCATGGTACCCAGTTGCCAGCCCATCGTGAAATGATATCGGTCTTCACGTAGCGACGCGGCGACAAAGGTGCCAGAATGTCCCATAAGGACTGTGTCAGCTGAGGATCTGGAGTTCCGACCCTTGGGATTGAACGGGTAGGACTTAAAGAACGGGCGTCAGTAGGAATGCGATCGTGAGGATAGCGTTCCAACATGGCTAAAAGGCGAGCAGCAAACGTCTGAAGGTCCCCCTGGACCCAGACGTCAAAACAATCCTCAATTGCTTTTGGTGGGGGACACATGTCAAGATAGAGGCGTTTATAAGTTGAGGACAATTTTGAGGCTTCCGGGCAAAGGGTGCTAGAGAACGTTCGAACTAAATGTTGAGTTCCTGGTATGCGAAGACTGGTGCCTGCAACGACGAAAAAATCAAGTCCATCGATAGACTGCGGCGACGAGTCACGTTTCACTAA